CACTTTTGGGACTTGTACTCGTTTTGTTAGTAGCTCTGTACTAGTGACTTCCAGGTTCTGGGAGGGATCTTTATTTGTATATATGTTTCGGTTTGCTTCCGCCTATTTATGTTGTTATCTTAAATTTTGCCTAATCTTGTTTAGTTTCTGCCCTCAGACCCATTACTTGTTGTTCTGGGTTATAGGTTGGCTTACCTACTGATGGGTTATAGTAGGTGCCATCATGATTCGAGGAATCGGGTCGTGACAATATATAACATGAAAAAGTGTACTAAACAAGGGATATGAGGTCGTTTGGTAGGGTGTATAAAAATAATGTTCAATAAAGTGTATTAGTAATGCTTGTATTAGTTATACTTGCATTATTAGAGCCTATTTGGATTAGCTTTAAAAAAATAGTTTTTAAGTTAAAAATAAAAAGTTTAAGTCAAAAAATAAAAAGTAGGGGGAACCTACTTTTGGTTTTTACTTATTTTAAGTCATTTAAACGTATTTTAAGTTATTTTTAAACTAGCCAAACACTTCCTAACTTATTTTCAGATTTGCCAAACCCTTTCAGAAGTCAAAAATTGACTTAAAAGTAGATTTGATCAACTTTTAAGCCAATCCAAAAACCCTCTTATGCATAGATTATTTCTTATGCATTTTTTGATTTGGTGTATTAAAAATAGTATGCATTGTATAAAAATATTTATTTACAAAAATATCACCTACAATTATGGTGGAAAAAATGTAAAAGTACTTTTGAAGGGTAATTGAGTCTTTAACCATGTTAATGCATTATGCATGTATTAAATCTTTTGCATTACTAATACCTAAAAATTCATGGTATTAGTAATACCAGTGTTTTCAAACACATTTTTAAGGGCAAGTCCCGGACAAAATTTGGGGCGTGTGCCAAAAACGCTCCGAGATGCAAATTAACGACGTAGATCCATAAGGCGTAAGTCCTACAATTTGGGCGTAAACTCCATGCGTAAAAAGGTAAGCCCTAGGCCTTGGGCGTTATTTAAAAAAAATTATTTTTGAACCTTTTTTGCTTGAAATCATACTTTATTATTGGTGTAATGATATTTCTAGTAATTGTAGTACTCTTTTTTCTTCATTATTGGTCATTAATACCTTTCTCAAATAAAAATTATAATTTTGTGTGTATATATTATAGGTTATTTATTAAAATTTATTTGTCAGATAATTGAAAGTTTTACTTTTGCTTATTTTCTTAGTAATAAAATTATAAAATTGAATATACATGAGACTACGCTCCGTAGACTCATAAGATTTATGTCTCGCCTTGTTCTGCATAAAATGTCTCACCTCACACCCCCGCATTTTAAAACATTGAGTAATGCACACTCAATACACAATAAAATGTATAACTAATGCAAGAATTGGTTATACATAGCATGAAAAACGCACCAAACAAGGGGGCTACTAATACATATAGCTAATGCATTATTTTAGATGTCGTTTGGTAGAGTGTATTAGCAAAAACAATGTATGCATTATCTCAATGTATTAGTAGTTAATGATTCTGGAAGAAATACACAAATAAAAATTATCACACATATTCAAAATGAACTTATTAAAAAACGATAACAATTCAACAACAATCTAAAGTCTATATTTAAAAAAAATGAAATATACAAATAAACTCGAGAATCAATAATAAAGATGAATTTTTACCCCATAAATTCATGATAAATTGAAAATTCAGCATTTCATAAAAAGAAATATAATCGTAACAAGACGCAAGATCTAAGCAACTTACTAAAGTCATGGCCGCCTTCCTATAATTTAGACTTCTTCCTATATATTTTAGGTTTAAAAATCTATAATTAAAGTCTATGATATATATTAATGAACTTGACAAATTCAGATTTCTCCTATGTATTTTTTTCCCCCATATATTAATAATAATTTGAAAAAATAACAGTAAACGACAATTTTATCTACGGTGATATCTAGTAGCAAAGGATAAAAAAAATAATTAATATTTTTAGATAAATATATATAAGGACCTTCATGCTATCCAAGCTTATTTGGTATAAGAAATAAGGAATAATTATTCTTGAATTAATTTTAGGATGAGTTTATTTCATGTTTGATTGAGATAAAATTTCAAAATAACTTATCTCGAGATCGTAGTGTTGTTTTTATTCCACAACAACAATAACGTATCAAATGAACTCTCACTAAGTGAGATTCGAGGAGGGTATATTGTACGCATACATTATCTTTACCTCGTGTAGATAGAGAAGTTGTTTCCGAAAGACCCTCGGCTCAAGTGCATCACACCCAATTAAAAGAAAAAGAAAACAATGAATAAATCATAATCATTAATAAGAAAAGCAGTGGAAAGTGCACAAGAAAAAACACTAACAATAATAAAATAGTGTGATACTCAAAAACTCAATAAACAACATATGACAAGAATTACAAGAATACGACTAGTATTGCGACATACACTACAATTACAATAACATTCTACGAAGTACTAACAAACCTAAAGCTTAGCAAGGCAATACAACCCTCCACCCCTACTATCCTTCTACCCTAATACACGACTTCCATTTTATCTGGAGTCATGACTTTAGTAATATTAAGCTACACCATGTCCTGTCTAATCACCCAGCCGCAATACTTCTTCGACCTACCTCAACCCCTCCGCGTATCCCCTACATCCAGTCTCTCGCACCTCCTCACTGGAGCGTTAGCACACCTCCTCTCCACATGCTCAAACCATTTCAGTCCGCCATAAATGCACTTCCACCTTCCACATATATAAAAGCGAAATATAACAAATCATGAAATAACTAATCTCAATTGAGAGTTAATAGATAACTTGTTCCCCATCCAAACGAGCCCTTAAAGTGTATATATATATAATATAAAAATAAAGTATAATGGAAATAAAAATATATTTTGTGTTCTCCTCAAACCGGAGTCACGTGTTAAACCGAATTTAGCCTAGACGTGGTTCATTACTGACCCCGGTTCCACTTCAGGATATTTTTTAATAGAAACTCAAAAAAAGTAAAAAAATAAAAAATAAAATAAAAATTTAAAAAACAAATAAAATAAGTAAAAAATATAAAAAATATCCTGAAGCATTAAACCCAAAACCCTACATTTGTTAAACCCTTTGTCATCTTCTTCTTCATCATCTTCCATTTTTCTCAAAGAAACTCTCTTACAGTTAAAAAAACATATGGGGTCTTTAATGGCTAATTGAGCTTAATTTTGAATTTTTATTTTAATTATGGCGGCTAAGAAGAAGAAGCAAAATCAAATTTCAAAGAAGAGTGGTAAAAAAAAGCAGCAACAGCAGCAGTTTTTGAGTGAAGATGATTATCGACTTAGGCTTCAAGAGGGTTTGTATTCACCTGATTATATACTGGCTAAAATTTTCAGAAAAGATGGTCCTACACTTGGTGATGAATTTGATCTTCTTCCTTCAAATGCTTTTTCTAGCCATAAGAAAGGTAATTTTTTTGTTGTTGTAATCATTTCATATTTTGAGTGAATTTTGTACCTAAGGGTGTGGTTTAGTGGTTAATTAAGTGGGTTTAGAATTATGAGGTCTCAGGTTTAAATTTGAGTGGAAGACAAAAAAATGATAGGTGATTTCTTCTTATTTGTTGTAGCTTTGGTGGAATTAGTTGTTGAGATGCGCGAAAGCTGGCAAAAGTTTAATTTTCCCGAGTGAATTTTTGTGAAGGAAAGTGGGTTTGAGTGTTGATTGTCCAGGTGGTAGTAGTTCTGTATATGGCTGTGTTTCATTTCTAGCTCTGGTCAGAAGTATTCCCCTATGGTTAGGGACTTGAATGGAAGTCTTTTATAAGTAATTGAGTCGCATTACCACTGACTATGGGTTCAGACTAGACTTAGTGTAGATTTGTATAACACTCATATGAACTGTATCCGTGTGTAGAAATAGACAGACATGATAAAATTTAGTATTAATGTCAGTTACTGTGTCTGTATGCTTGCTGTGCTAAATCTTGTTCTTCCACGATCAGGTTCCAGAATTTCTGGTCAAGCTAGACAAGAAAACCAAGGAGCGACTAAGAGGAGAAAGGTAGGCATGATAGGTTCTGGGAAAATCATCACAACCTCTATGTGCTCAATATGAACACTTAAATCTTTTCAGTTTGTTCATATTTTCTCTTTGTATTTTACCTTTTTCTTCACCAGGTTTCTGTGCCTGCTACCATGCATCTCCAAGCTTTATGTGAAAGTAATCCTCCTGTGAAGAAGCATGGTACTGGGAAAGGTCTGATAACAAAAGACGTTTCGGTGAAAAAGCATAGCGCTGGGAAACGTTTGATGACTGAGAAGAGTGCTACTCTTAGAAATCATGGTATGGGGAAGGGTTTGATGACAGTTTGGCGGGCAACAAATCCTCACGCTGGAGACATCCCCAGTGGTGTTGGTTTTGGAGAGAGTGCTGAAGAGAGAAAGAAGAAGTTGCTGCAGCGACAGTCTATTTTGGTTGAGCCTCATGCCATGCCTTTGATATTTACTTCGCAATTTGTAGTACATGCATGATACATGTCTTCCAAGTTCCCTTTCTGATTCTTTGGCAAAGGTTGGTAATTGCTAGCTGAACTTCTGTGTGCAGAGAAAAATAGAAAAGAAATTGCAGGATAAGAAGAGGATTGGTGTGAAATGCAGAAAGGTAATATTCTGGCTAATGCTGGAAAGCTACTACTATTAGTGGTTGGAGTTGCTTTTTTTCTTCTTTTTGATATGTAGTGGTTGTAGTAATTCTACTGTGGCATTTCATAATTGCAGGCAGAGAATAAAAGGATTGAAAAGCAGAAGATGCCTCGTAAGGAAAAATGTGAACTTGCGCTGGAATGGAGCAAGTGCCAAGAAGGATTACCTATCAAAAAAAGGAAGTGCCAACACGAGTTTACTCAGTTGGGGTCGCTAGTGGATGATGAGGAACTTGAGTTAATGGAGATGGAAGCAGGACCTAACTCATTGACATGCTGTACACACTTTGCAAGCAATGGACTTCGTGGATGTTCACTTTGCAAAGGTAAGAATAAGACCCCCTATTTTTCCTATCCTCTTTGCAAATGTTAGTTAATTGCTTTATGTTTATTTTATCCTCTATTTCTTTATTTTGTTAGTTTTTTTCTTTTTCTTCTTTTAACCTTACTTCTATGGTCTAATTGCTTGTTTTAGATGTTTAAGTTATATTACAAGATTAACCAGTCATCAATTTGCTTTGAAGTATACAGATTTACAATCTATGTCTAACAAAATTCCTTTAATTCTCTAGGTTTACTTCCAAAGTTTCCTCCCAATTCAGTAATAATGAAGCTGCCTCTCTATGAGCGACCATGGGATTCCTCTCCAGAGCTCGCCAAGAAACTGTTCAAGGTACTTGGGAAATAATATTCTTTGCTGAGTCTGATAGTGTTAATACAAATAAAGAATATAATATTGGATTGTCATGGTTAGTGCTCAATTGGTATACCTCATTGTTAATGTTCTGTTTGTTAAGAGGATGTAGTTCTCTTGTTCTCAATAAATTTGCACAAAGATGATCTGTAAAAACGGTGAAGCATTTTGCATTTTGATGCTTTTCTCAACATAACCTCACCGTTTTTTCCTATATAATTTTTTTATATTAAAAAAAGCATATGGGCTAATATGCAGTTTATTTTGCAGGTCTTCCACTTTCTTTGTACTTATGCTGCAAGAATTGATATCTGTTCCTTCACAATTGATGAGTTTGCACAAGCATTTCATGAAAAAGTAAGTTCAGCTCTGTACTAGTTATTCTCCATCATTCGCTTTTGAGACCTGATAGCTGCTTCTAAAGATGCCGATCACTTGCCTATTTCGATTTGATTCTTGTTGCTTTCAGATCACTTACCAGTTTTGATTTGATTCTTGTTGCTTTCAGGATTCCTTGATCCTTGGACAAGTTCATTTAGCCTTTCTCAGGCTTCTTTTGGCAGATGTTGAAATTCAGCTTAACAAGGGATTCATTCATCAAGCAAGCAGAAGTTGCAATTTCTTGGGATTGGTTCACTCAGTGAGTGTACATGCATTCAGATCCATTTTTCAGTTTAATAGGCTTTTGCATATTAGCATAGGGTTGAGTCTTCAAGAAGCAGCTGTGAGACAATTTATGTACTGCAATTTGTATGTATTCGCTATTAGGCTAGTGCTTCCTGGAACTTCAAACTGAATATGGCTTATTTATTTCATCATTATAACTTTGCTACAAAGGAGGTTACATTACTTAGGTAGGGCAATAGAAAAAATAGAAGATAAGGGAGAGAAAACAATGATGCTTCAGGGGATGTAAACCGAAAGCGGAAGGAATCTAAAATATGTGAAAATGTAACAAAAGAGAACTTGACCATGTTATGGTCATCCCACAAATTGTGCGGGGTTATTCCCTGACAAACACCCTAACCATGTAAGTTTCTACAAAGTATCCTGGAGCATATTAGTATGAATTTTGCTTGTACTGTTGAACCACTTTGGGGAGTTGACATGAGTTATACTTTACTGAAAATGGGAATAAAAAATAGTCATGGTCGGGCCTATAATCTTAAATTCTTCAGGAAGTGCATGAAGGTAGAAGGTCCTTAATAATATCACAAAAAGAAATAAGAGGAAATTTAGAGGTCCTATATTTACCTTTTACATAAGCTGGAGTTGTGAAGAAAATATCTTCCAAACAGTTCTTCTAATATGAGTTACTAACTCTATTCAGAAAGTTAAAGAAAATTGCATTAACATGTTGTTTTTTTGGTGTAAAGAAGATGGTATAGAAGAAGTAGAACAGTTGGTAGATTTCCTAGGATCTATGTAATTATGGTTTTAGCTTGTAACTTTTTGGAGGTAGCCAGCATACCCTTAATGCTGAAGAATACAACTTTAGCTTTATAAAAAAAAAAACAGTTCTTCTAATATGAGACTCGGACAATAATTTTCTTTCTCAAGGATCACTATACTCCCTCTGTCCATCTTTACTTGTCCATGTTTGACTTGACACACTCCTTAAGAAATAATAAATAGAGGGGTAATTTTACTATATCACCCCTATTAATTATGAGTCATCTAAATATTGAATAATGAATAGTATTTAATAGCAAGGATAAAATAGACACAAAATGGTAAATTATTCATTGATTTCATATATTGACAAGTATTGTTGGACATCCAAAAATAGTATAGTGGACAAATAAAGATGGACAGAGGGAGTACAATGTTCGTTTTTCCTTTTTAGTGGGAAGACGGAACTAGCTATTAGCAAAGTAAAATGCAGTGGTACCAAACATTTATGATCCTTGCTTATATATTTCCCCAAGAAAGAAGGAAAAAAAAGGAAAGAAATCCTTGCTAAAATATGTCTTTTTTGTTGGAACTAAGAAAAACATTGGTATACAATACTCAGAGTTTGATATGGGTCTTATATCATTATGTTAGCTAGTCTTTGCTTTTCCAAAGTGTCCTACTAGTGCAATATGCTTAATGGAAAATACTGAATACTATGTCTGGTTTGGAGAGTTGAGTACCAGAAAAGTCCTAACAGTTTGGTTTGGAGAGCTCAGCACCAGAAAAGTCCTATAATTATCACGAAGTTCCACAAACCCCAAAGACATCTGAAATCTCTATCAGGGAGTACACAGATACCCTATGCCATAAGCACCAGTGGTGTTATCAACATATTAAAAAAGTTCTGCTTCTCTGTTGTATCAACTAACAACGTTTGCATGTTCTACATGCGACCTCCCTCTATGCATTCTACTGATGCTTTTCTTCCACAATCACTATGGTAACACTAGTGTCCTGAGATTATTGATCTTGGATATGAAGGGATGTAATTGGTTACTAATCTCTTCCCCTTGAGAGGATATATGCTGTTTGATTATCTATATGCTCATCTATTCTGCTGACAAACTTCCGTTCGTCACTGTTTTCTCTTTAAAATCTTCTTGTCTGTTAAAGTATGCTATTCTGAAAGAGGAAACATTCATCTATTTTGACAGATTGAACATGAAGAATTTAGTCTGGAACTCTGGATTAGTTCTCTCAATGCCTTAACATGGACAGAGATACTACGGCAAGTCTTGGTTGCTGCTGGTTTTGGGTCCAAACGTGGTAGAGTACCTGGAGAGGCTCTCTGCAAGGTACTGCAATTTCTGGCTACTGATTTAATTTTAGTCTTGCATCTTTGATATGTCAGTGGCTATAAGTTATTCTTTAATGTTTTTGTTGCTGGATATTTAAAGACTTTGTGATATGTCAGTGGTCATATTTCACTATAAGAAATAAATTGTTGGGAATGTTGAGTCTTCATTCCTCATTGATTCTGTATTTTTCTTTGTAATTGCTTTGATATGCGTTACTTGAGCAGAGGATCTCTTGGAAACAACCTCTCTACCTCCACAAGGTAGTAGAGGTAAGGCCTGTGTAAGGCAGAAACTTCACTCGCTGAGGAAAGAAAATCAGGAATTTTTGGTGCTACTCCTTTATCTTTTCTCCGTGTGGTTTTGGAGAACATCCTCTTATCGTGATTAATTGGTCACAGCCCCCCTGCCTCCACATCCCTCCCCACAGACCCCACTTGAGGGATTTCACTGGGTTGTTGTTGTTGAATGCTGAGTCTTCTTCACTGGGCACTGAAGTGGACACGTACTGTAATTACTTATCTAATTCAACTATCTCCAGAAAGCACCCTACAAACACATCCTAGGGCTGTTTGGAAGGACACCTTGGGATTGAATGTGGATGTAACTGGGTATAATTACACAGTTTTGATATGTTTCTGTGGCCAAGTAACTACTTGGTCAGCATGGAATTGGGTGTTTCTGAGGGGAACAATTACATTCTCCATTTTTTATTTACTTTACCAGAATACACACACACACACACACACATAGTACTTTCCAACGTGGTGCTTCCTTTCCAGGTACTAGTATTTTGCAACTCCTCATAGTGTCCTCCTGTTTTTACTTTTTTCTTTTTGTATATGCAGATTGCAGTACACTAGTACTAGTACTTTGTAGGTTGGTGTTTGAGTGATGGTGAGGAACGCAGTGACTTGCTATGCTATTATTATCTTCTTTTTTTTTTTATCAGTTTCTATATTTTAATGTTGATTTTCTTGATAAAAGCCTTAAATCATACGACAGATCTAATACTGCGATAAGCCTATAGCTGTCATCCTACAGTAGAGTGTCTTGGAGGAAGTTTTGCTGTTTGATTCATGACGTTACTCTGTGATTCTCATTTTCTTTGTTTCTTGTTTCTTAGGAACGTAGTTTGATGGCCAAGTATGGGTTAACCCGTGGTACACTGAAGGGTGAACTTTTTAGCATTCTGCTAATTAAAGGAACTGATGGAATGAAAGTTCATGAGCTGGCAAAACTTCAATCTGTAAGTGGATGTGAATCCCGGTACTTACTATTAGTATTATCATTTACTACTGCCTCCTTTACACCATAAAATGCTTTGGTTAATGAATCTTTTTCCTTTTGTCTTGAAGATTCTTGAATTGAATCTGGCAGCGACAACCATTCAGCTAGAAGATTTAATAAGCTCAACCCTTTCTAGTGACATTACCTTGTTTGAAAAGATTTCATCTTCAGGGTACCGTCTACGTATTAATCCTTCTTCACAGGAATCTGAAATTTGTTTCTCAGATTCCGAAGGAGATGACGCAGAGGTTATTAGTGGATACATCAGAGATAATTCAGAATGTGAGTCTCGCGAATTAGTTCGAGCTGAATCTGAACGGAGCTATCATCAGTTTGAAAATAGGAACAGTCTGTCAACAGTAAATACTGAAATTGATGAAAGCTACTCAGGAGAAGCATGGTTGTTAGGGCTGATGGAAGGTGAATATTCAGATCTGGGCATTGAAGAGAAGCTGAACGCCTTGGTGGCATTGGTTGATCTTCTTGTTGCTGCATCCAGCATCACTGAAAAGGTAAAATATTCAATATGAGTCCATTAGGTCCATTAAAGGAACTCTTCCCTCTAGGTTATCATGTCTTCAGGTTCTTCTGCCTTCCTATGTGCGTTTCTTGTTCACGGTGCTAAATTTGCTTTTTAACACTTTATATTCATTTTACTGGCGCCAGACCAGAGCCAACTAACTTGTACTAGTAGGTGAAGTTCTAAAAAACTTCTGACCTGAAAGATAGACCTTGAAAATTGGTGGCAAAGAAGTTCCAACCCATCCCAGCATGTCTGTAAACAAATTTCTGGCACCGGCAGATACGTCGAATTGATGGTACTGCCAGAAACAACCTCGAGGATTGACATTCCAAGCACACCCAGAGCCTTTGAAGCTTCTTCCCCCGTTTCCGAGCATTTTGATAGTACTACATTTTGACTAATAAAAAAACATATTGCTATATTGTACGAGTATCACCATTCTTAGTGAACATATCACTATATTGCACAAGCCATTCTTTGTGCACTGACATATGATAAAAAAGAAGTGCATTTGTATGTCAGATCAGCTTTTTTTTTTCTTTCTGCATTTTATTTAGTGACAAGTTTTGTCTGCAGGATCCGATGCCATCAGCTGTAGAATGTGCTCCTGCAACGATTCATCATGCTTCTGGTGGAAAAATAAAAAGGTCATCAGCAAAATCATCCTACTTGACTGGGCATGCACAAAGTCATAATGGGCAACTTAGTAATCAAGATCCAACAGTGTCACTGGAACTTCAGCCAGTTGACTCTTCTTCAGTATTAATGTCAAAGCTCTGTGAGAAAAATAAGTCACCTAGGACTGCAAAGAATGCCAAAGAACTGAAAGCTGGGGATGAGTTGCACCCTATGCAGTCTATCTTCCTCGGTTCTGACCGTAGGTACAATAGATACTGGATTTTCTTGGGCCCTTGCAATGAACTTGATCCTGGGCACAGGAGGATTTATTTTGAATCTTCTGAAGATGGTCACTGGGAGGTGATTGATACTGAAGAGGTACTTTAGTATCACTTTGGCACTTCTATTTCTTATGTTAGTAGCATGCAACGACTTCCAACAAATGAACTTTTTCATGTATTTTTGATCTGGTTTCAGTCTTTATGCTCTTTGTCGGCTGCCTTGGACCGTAGAGGTATACGAGAGGCTCTTCTAGTTGCATCTCTGGAGAAACGGGAAACCTTCCTATGCCAAGCAATGTCAAATGTTCTGAATGATTCGGGAGATAGCCAATCACCTCGATGTGGAAGGAGCTTTTCTAGGGAAGATAGTTCATCATCTGCAATTTCTGATGTGGATAACTTAAGCCTTGTTGAAGTGCACAATGGTTCTATTGGTCCGAAGGTGCCTGTAGGTAGGAAAGGAGAACATCAGCAAGACAAATGGAACATCGCTCAAGCTTTTGACACATGGATATGGAAATCATTCTATTGTAATCTTGCCGCTGTGAAACGTGGGAAAAGGTCTTATCTTGATTCACTTGCAAGGTGTGAACAATGTCATGATCTATACTGGAGGGATGAGAAGCACTGCAGGATTTGCCACACCACGTTTGAGCTTGATTTTGATCTTGAAGAAAAATATGCCATTCATACTGCAACATGCAGGCAGAACCTAGATCTTGATAAGTTATCAAAGCATAAAATTCTCCCATCAGAATTGCAGTCACTTAAAGCTGCAATACATGCAATTGAGGTGGGTAGTCATTCTAATGCTTTTACAGCTAGTATTACGTGTCCAAAATTTGATGTTCATTTACAAGTGTTTACTATTATGAAGTGCTCCATATAAACAAGAACCTTATAACTTGTATGATTTAGAGTGGTATGCATATCTTGTTTTATGTCAAAAAAAAACCCCTAAGAGTGGTCCATCAATGTTCTTAATAATCATACTAATTATAGCACACTTGTAGTTTAGTAGAGGCATGTTTCTATCAGGTGCTTGCATAGACTGTTCTATACTTGTCTAAACGTCACATGCGTAACTTTGCAGCACACTATTAGATCCTTTGGTTTTACATCTCTCATTATCCTGCACATCCATGTAGCTTATGTTGTGTTTATGATAACTTGATGAAAGTTTAGTTTGTTAGGATGCTGTAGATAACATCCCAGATGGTGAACTTCATAGAAAGTGGGTTGTTCTTTGACCAGTGACATGAATGCCTTTCTTTTTTGTCTTTTCGGTAAAATAATGATTGTATTGTGCTGTTGGGTAAGACTCCATGTAGTGATATACAAGATGTAGAGAACCTACAATAAAATATGGTGCTCTACGAATAATGCCAATTCATTTTATGTTGAATGGGACTTCATTGGCGCACCAAGAATTTACAAGAACAAGTCTATCAAAAAAATTTACAAGAAAAGGGATTCCTTTATTTGTACAGAAGTTTATTCCACCACTCAAATGGTCCTCTTTGTTACTGTCCAAATTGTCCACATAGAAGCTAGACGAACTACTTTCCATGTCTTGCTTACTGCAATTTGGGCAGTTTTTGAATACTTATTCCAAAAGCAAGATAAGGTCCTTGGGGATGGTCTGGTGGTTGAAGCATGTTAGTAACGACCTCAAATCTCAGATTTGAATCCCAATTACACCGTTTGGTATGAGCCCATCAGCTCCAGCCTTGGGAAGCCGGATTACCTTTGCAACTTGTGCTTGTTGGCTTGACTAGCTGTCCAGTGGATTAGTCAAGGTGCGTGCAAGCGGCCCTGGACACCACCGATTGGAAAAAGAAAAATCAAGACTCTTTTCAAATAGCTGAGTTGAAATTGAAAATAAGACTACCTGATAAGCACCTTCATACTCTTATAAAGTTATTTGTTCTATTAACTGCTGTGCCATTAACTTTCCAACTTATGTTTTTTCAATTATCAATCTGATATATGTATTTATCATTCATAACGTTGCAGTCAGTAATGCCAGAAGATGCCCTAATTGGTGCTTGGAGAAGATCTTCCCACAATCTTTGGATCAAAAGACTGCGCAGGGCTTCAACTTTATCAGAGATTTTACAGGTGACAAATGCCTGCCCGTCCTTCAGTATTTTTTATAATTGGTATCAATTTCCCAGGATTTGCATTTTGGAGAGTTCAAAAATAAAGATAGATCCATTGAGTCTATAGAAAAACCTTTCCAACTGCTTCTAGGTTTGACATTATTTTCATAGAAATTTGACCTAACAGGTCTCACATAAGTGGACTTCTATTTTGTAATATATCGTAGGTTCTTGCTGATTTTGTCACTGCTATCAATGAGGACTGGTTGTGTGAATCTGGTCATACTTTGGGATTGAATTATGACCCAGAAGAAATTATTGCAAGCTTTTCAAGCATGCCCCGGACTTCATCTGCAGTTGCATTTTGGTTGGTCAAGTTGGATGCCTTGATCGCACCCCACTTGGAAAGTGTGCCCATTAGCACCCTACAAGTCTAAAGGTGTGATACTTTCTTTTGTTTGATTAAGTTCCTACTTTTGTGTTGTTGCACTTTTCTCCCATAAATCATGAATCTGCTATTTATGTTTTGGGAGTTGGAAAGGGGGAAGTTTCCGGAGAAAGCTTTGTATAGTATTTCTTTGGGTAACTATGTAGCTTCTTTGACCTGATTGAGAACATATTTATGCTAAAACTTGGCACAACTTGTCAATGTGCAGTGTGTGCTAGATCTAGCTAATTGAAGGGGTAAAGACCTATAAATAAATAATTAAATGAAAGGAGCCGAGAACACTGAAATCTTCAGGCAATGTGATATGCTTTCTGTCATGCCCACTTAGGCTTGTTGTAAGTTTATATTCTTTTGAAACTGTACAAGTAATGCCTCTCTCTTTTATCCCTCTAAGTTGTTCTTCACAAATTTATCTTCTCTACAGGTAAAAATTTCGTTTTGGATTATTACAACCCTTTCCTGCTGAATATTTGACGCAGTCGATCTTCACCAGTCGTCTGACACATGCTTGATATGCTTTGACATTTCAGGTAGGTTGTTTCAAACAGGTCAATATTCTTTAGTTTCCCGGATAAAGAATACATGGTTTGTATCCATCAAACTTCTTTGTGCCAAAATTAAGATACTTGGAGAGAAGGTTATTCCTATCATTATCCCTGACGGAATCATGCTGCTTATGGCTACAAGTGCAACAGAAAGCTTTATGATTTTTTGGAAAGTAAAGCAGAAAATACGGCAGTTCAGCAATCGGTTTAACAACTGAAGCTGATATATGTACAATGTTATTTCGCGACATCCATTTTTGTTATCATCACTATACCTAGTATACATGAGTTCTTCTTGAATGTAAATAGTAGTGCAGGTCTCTTCCTCATCTTCAATCTTCAACCCAATTTTGGTGTATTAGAACTCACTCTTGATTTCTTCACATGTATTAGCTCATTCCTTGTATGATAAAACTGTTATACAGGTTTCTCTTAGCGGCAATATAATAAAATTTAGTGGGGCAATTCGATGCCTTCGTTTCAGATCCTCTTTTTATTCTTCCTTGGGTTTTTAGCCTGCTTATCAAAGAAAGACGGGTTTGACCGAGGCTGTTCAAACAGGCATAGATCCAAATCAACTATTGCTAGCTCTCCCTCTCTCTCCTCTTTAATGTATGATCTTACTGAGTTGTTCTTCATTTATTAATTCAATGTATTGGCCGCTTGGTTGCGTCTACTGTATAATTGTCAAGGGAAGGACAAGCTGTTGTGAATGAGTCCAATCTTGGGAGTAAAGGCGCGCTTGCATTATATGGTTTATATGGAAGGAAAGAAATGTAAGATGTTCTGAAAATTAAGAGGAGCTGTATTTTATTCACTTTTGGTGTAAAGAATAGCTGTCCGAATATGCAGATTGCAGATTCACTGTTGAGACATTATAGAATCCTTGTAAAAAGAACAAGGACTCAACTTTGTTTTCTTTATTGAACTGTGGCTCCAACATCTCCAATGACGTTTTATTAGGAGTTTTCTCCAGAACTCATAGTCGCCAAGTTCTATCGTCGTATTCATGAAGGTACCAAATATGGTCCATCCTGGTATCACAGTCCTCTTGAAGAATCAAATGAAAAGGTATGTATAGACTATGAACAATTGTGTAAAATTGTAAAAGAAGCCAACTCCATACATGTCCAGAAATTCAATACACTACAAACACTTGGATATCTTCTATGGTAAAAAAGATGCACATTTAAAAAAATATATATAAATACAGATTCAAGTTAGCACTTTTGAGTATTCTTGTTCACGCCTCCTCTTCGAAAGTGTAGTGCTGCAACTGCTTCATTCATGAAATATGGACCTAGTTGTATACAACTAATTCACACCGCTCCTACTTGTATTACAAAGTGAAATGAAAATTGACTGCTTCTATGTTTTGGGCAGATCATGTTATGTAGATCTTCCTCGCGTTCATCTTTGGCGCCCTCATGAATCTGAGGCAGGGAACTGGTGCATTTCTTGAGTTTACAGAAACTAAAAAGTTGATCTGCTACTAGAGAACATTCACAGCAGTAGTCAGATAATCATCTATTCCCTCTCAGTGAACTGAAGATGAAGACGTCCTGTGCCTCAAATTGACTTAGATTAATTTGTGCGTGGCAACAAAAAGCTAAAGCCTGAATTCTCTCGGAGAGGAAGAGGAGATTCAATGTCAGCTATATCTATTTGTTCCATTGATTTTGATATGTCATCAACTGAAAACGGGATGCTGAAAATTGAATCATTCAGAAACATCAGCAATTGGATCAAAGAGGCATAAAAAGGAAGTTTACTAAATACGATAATGATACTATCGTCTGTCTTATGCACATTCATTTGCACCTTAATCACTAGTAATCTTCTGCTTGATAACATATATACCTCTATATAAGCTAAAATTGTTGTCTTTCCCTAACTACTGATAACCTGAACTGGGAAGGGCTTATATTTTCGGTAAATGTTTGGGACTAATTTTCAGATATAGTCGTAATGAGATTCAAAGGAATTCACCACACAAAAGCAAGGTATCAATTTTTATCAATGACAAGGATATTGATGCAAACCTTGAATCATCATCTAAGAGAAAAGAGTTGCTGACTGCTTGATTTGAATCTTCAGTCATCGACACCCTCATGCTGGATATGACCTAATGCAATTGCATAAAAACCCTGTCCTTGGTTAATTTTTACTGTGTAAGCATGTTACTAAATTATATCTTTTGAAGAATATGACTCTAACCTAGGTTGACTAATGGCATCCATAGAAACTTACATCCGATGACACACTATGTGTACCATATTTGTCATCCCAGTACATTGTACTGATCCTATACAACTGCTGGATGCTAAGCACCTGGAGGAAAAAAAGATATTAGTGAGCTTAAATGACATTCCGGCTATCTCTTCCTTCAAATTGATCACTTACTGGACAGAGTTGATGGCTTATTTCATCCAGTGTCTTTTTGGGTTTTTGATGTATAACCTGCAGCAAGAAAAGTGAAGAACTTTTGAGAACTCTACCATCCCATTTTTAAAAATAAGAGAAGCAAGTTGAATGAAAATGATCAATGTAAATGCTTACAAGAAAACCAATGGCCTGTCTGATATGCTTCAGCTCATCCCATGCTGATCCTGCATACTGTTCTTGTTTCGTTTAATCACTGGGGGGATTAATATAATTTCTAGGATTACCAAGCTAAAAAATATATATGATGGATCTACCTCATCAGTTGCCGTAAAGCACCAGTGCTCCAATTCCGCCAGTCCTGCTTTGACGTATTCACCATTGCTAAATGAACAACACTCTCGTCTTAACAGAAGGCTGTGAAAATTTTACAATCACATGAGGAAACCTTTTTAATGCATTGTAGAAAACTGCATGCAAAAAGAAGTATATAGGTGCACCTGTTAAAAAGCTGAACATTGATGAATGAAAATATCTGAGTGAATACTTTACGAACTAAAAATGGAGGCACCTGAAAGTATCAAATCAGAAAAGCAAGATGAGAAGTAAGTTGCATAATATTTTGGAATCAAAGGCTTATATTTGTAAGCTTATTAACCATCTAAAGATTCATGACATTGCTAATTCTGCTGAGCCAATGTTTTCTGGATACAAATTTTTTACTCTAGGAACAAATTGTTACACTGGAAAGGGGTTCAAAATAATTGAAACAAAGGAAAAAATCAGCTTCACTAACATGGTTTGCTTTTAACGTGTTCAAGAAAATTCCCAGGCTCTTCACAATGCCCTGCCAATGGGCAATCAAAGCTTGCTGAGCTGCTGTATTAGCTACTGAACGTGAGGACCCTTTAACCAAGCTTGCTCTTGAAGTTCGTGGTGCCTAATATCCAATAAAATTGTTTACATGCAAATGAAAAAGGAAAAGATTAAACGTTATCGAAAAATGAGGTCCAACAAATTGTTTACATGTAAATGAAAAAGGAAAAGATTAAACGTAATTGAAAAATGAGGTAGAGTATTGGAGTTATACATAATGCAAACAACATGCTGTCCTAGAGACCAAGAAATGTCTCTGGAGATATTTTCTCCACATACCTGGATACACAACCCCAGCAACGGAGAGATCTCCTTTTTCAAATTGTCACGAATCATTCCATAAATTTTCTCCACATATGCTGTAAGTTGCTGCTTGAACAGCAAGGCAGGGTATTTTGCTTCTACTTGGCGTAAAGTTTCAACTCCTCCAGTCGCAAAGGAAAGATTGACTCCTTGAGGATTTCCACGGAAACTCTGGAAAATCAATAACAATGAATAGGAGCTAGTCTCAAACTTCCTCAAGAAAAAGTACTGAACTTGTCTATATCTTTTAACTTCCTACCTGCGACATCCTCCCAAACAGAGATGCCGATGAGGATCGACGACGTAGAGGGGTCATTGCTGCAGCAGCACTTGCTTTGAGTGTACGCTGAAGTAGCAATAAAAGAGTAGAAGCATTTGACAACCAATACGCCAGTACATCATTGTTGTCCTGAGTTTTCTGTTCCAACATAGAAATGGAATTATAAGAAGCAATTATAATTTAAAAAGTGAGAAGACAAAGGAGAACTGGATTTTGTAGCTCAAACCTCAATAGCATGACCAATAGTCTGGATGATTCGGTCAAACACAGTTGTTCTCTCAACTTCGAAAGATCTCCACTGCAAAAGGCATTTATAGATGATGCAGGCTGCAATTGGCCTGTTTCCAGCAAAGCCCAAGTTTTGTGCGATACAGCGAATCAGCAACTCCTGGTTCTCTTGCTGTTTCTCATTAAGTGATTTTTGCGGTTTGTCATCTGCTTCAGGAAGGTCCCTTTGGTTCAATGAAGGGCTATGAAGATCCTAAATAATGAAAGTGAGAATATGAGCAACAAAAATTGTTGGCATGTAAGTAGAATTTGGCAACACATGTTTTATAAAGAAGGTAAATTACCACATGCATTCTTGTATCCTCGAAACTTCGACCACTCTCAGTTCTCTGTCAATTGAACAGAAAATGTCAGACTCTTCTACTCTTGAATCCTCCACAAAAATTACATGTAAAACAGCAATACCTGGATAATAGATCTAGAGCGTCCAGAAAGGAACTTATTAGGTGCCATTGACACAGCTTGCTGACGGAAAACTTTGTTCTCCGACTCTAAGTTTGTCATCTTCTCCTCTAACCTGATTTGGCAGGGTTCAGTTGCAACACAATAAATAAGGCCAAATAATTCTTTTAGGAATGAAAAAATGCAACACAATCATATTGCACTAAAAATACTAGTTGAACAAGACTAGTAACCTTATCCAAACTACCAAGTATTATCTAGACATGACTACTATTAAAGTTCTTGTACAAACAATGGACTATTCTATTTGTCGTTCATACATCATGGTGTAGAGAATGCATCATGAGAATTGTTACTGTAAAGCTGTTCATCATCTATAGATTAAGTGCACCATATGTAATTCATAATATCCAAGGCCTACTCCACAAACTACTTTATTGTTTACGCTTGGATGACCATATTTTTTCTTTACTATCAACATCCTATTGGTAGGTCAATATTTCATTGTGCACAATATTCTGATGGGAACTCTCAACTGCATTATTGCTGTAAGATTTATTCAATAAATTTAGCGATTTTAATTTTAATATGAGTTAGTCATATCAACACATGCAGTGTCATTCTTTTAGGTTATTCAACACTGAATATATTTTTACAGTGAAAATGAACAGGAAAAAGAAGCATATCTATATTTACAATAGAAAAACAGTTCGTCTTATAAGAAATTACCCTTTCAGGGATTCCTGGAGTTGAAGAACTTTTTTTTCTGTTTCTTCTAACTTCCTGCGACTTTCTTCCCCAGATTCTTGAGCCTCAGTATACTTCTGCTTCCAATCATCACAGTTCTGCTTTTCTTGTTCTAAAGAAACCTGGACAGAGCACACCGAGATTGACAAAGAATATAAAGATAGAAACATGTCATTTCATTTTGTGATCCTTTTAGGGAATGTTATG